AATCATTTCAGAAAAAAGGAAACATTAAGCAGGTAAAATGAGATTTTTAGTATTTAATAGTTGTAATAGTGCTTATCCTGGAAAAACTTTTTTTTTTCCCTTTAACCAAATTTTAAAAGGCACTTAAAAAAAACTTAAATGAGGATCATGGGTGTTATGTTGAGTGATATGGACTGTTCATTGCTATCCTATTTAAGATTTCAATACATTTCTAAACCAGTTTTAAGTCACTGTGTTTTTTCCACATAAACAATCATGAGGTAACTAGCAACATGTGACATTCACCTTTTTATATTTGCAAGAAATTCACTCACAAACAGAGTATCATTAGTTATGGTCATACTATGTCAATACCTGGGAAAATAATTGAGTTTCCCCCCCATAAATTCCTTCCAAATGCTTAAAAAATGAACAAAGCAAAAATCCAGTTTTCAAACATGAAATAGATTTTACTTTTTTTTGAGAAGTATAAATATAGGCTTACTTTAAAAAAATTATATTGTCCAAATCAATTCCTGTTTATATTCCTGTGCTATTCTAAAGAGGTAAGTCAAATAACATGCACTATTTTCCCCTTGTTTCATCTTCTCCCTTAAAGATATTAAAAGTTACTTTTAGTACAAGATATGAACTTCTATTCCTATACTAATTTTTAAAAATAGCCAAGGATAATGAAGGAGGCAGCTTTAGTAAAGAAGACTAATTCATTAAATAAGGAGGCCAAAAAAGGCATTAGAGACATACAGTCCTATAACCTTTTTTCAGGAGAGGAAACTGAGGGCCAGAAGAGTTGAGGGTCCAAGATCATACAAATGGTACCAAACTAAGCTCAGTTTCAAACCCCTATCTCCTGACTTTAAAAGCAAATGAAGTAAGAGTGAAGACAAGTATTTATTAAGTGTTTATTAAACGCAAGGCATTGTGTTGGAGATATAAAGAACGGAACTATCTGTACCCAGAAGGAAGTTAAAGTCACATAATATAAATTAAGCATCTCAATATACCATCACATAATCTAATTTAGTAACATGCCCACAAAGAAACCATTGTTGGTGGTCTTCACATTTTGCTAACACGTCAGAATTCTTCATTCATAATCCTAAATTATTGCATTCATACTTCCCTCTTATTATTTATACTTTCTATTTTAACAAACTGAAATCAGAGATCAAGGTTTAAGTACATTTATGGATTGAAGTAGACATTTAATTTTAAATTACTTCTGGTGACTGACAAAATATCTCTTCTTCCTGAAAGGTAATTTCTTAATAACGTAACTGGCAGTTGGGCTAACCACAGGCAAACAATGAAGTAGAGTAAGTTTGTTTTTTAGTTTCCTTCCCCCACTGTTTTCCTCTTTTTAATGCTACTTCCTGATGCCCGGTATTCCCTTAAGGCTGCTTGAGTTCCCACTAAAGGACTTCACTTTTTGAGCTTTCCCTACCTAGCAAAAAAAAGGTTTCATTCCTTTTCCAGACTACACCCCCAAATATTTACCTATCCTACAAATCATTTTGACCTAGTCTGATAACCCAATCCATATGAATGTGATATTAAGTGCTAGCCAGTTTTTATGTATTACTCCTTCCTTAAGTTATCTTTCAATTTTAACTGAGATTTTCTAGATAGAATGTCTTAACAAATAGGTAGCCTAATGCAACTGAAAGTTTGGCTACTCTTAGACCAAGATTCTTTGTCCCAGTTCCTTCACTACCTAACTATATATAATTTCTGGCAAATCACTTCATTTCTTTGTATCTTCATTTTTGAATTTGTAAAATAGGTATCAAAAGATTTATAGCTAGAAAATGCCTTTCCCACAGACCGTACAGTCCAAAACCTTTATTTTAAAGAGGAAGAAAATAAGGCTCAAGGAAGTTGAGTAATTTGTCTAAGTAAGGGGAAGAGCTAGGTTACACTCAGGTCCTATAACTCCAAATACAGTCTTTCAAACTATACCATAACACCAATGAGGTAGGATAACTGACTTCAGAATTCCTGAGAAGATAAAATGAAATCAGTAAAAAGCTATACACATCCTAAGCATTTATTATTGGTAATTCGTATTAGTAGCTCAAATAATTAGTATTTCTGGCACTATGGTAGGCTATACATATATTTTGGGGTAGACTGGCCTTTGCTTGCCCCTGAATTCACATTTTATAGGGAACCAGCTACTTTACCCATGCATCAGAGGGGTCTTCGAAGTTTTAAACTGCTAAATTTTAAAAGTTCAACTGCTGTGCAAATCTATACTTCAGACTGCTACTGGAGAAACTTTCAGAATTCACTCCTTTAAAATTTACATGATATCTTCCTTAAGTCACGTGACAACCCTAGTTTCCTGAAATGAGCAGGAAAATAGAAACAGTAATTTGAACTACATGTATTTACCATTAAATGACACTAGTTTGAATGAAACAAATGGAAGTTGTCAATATATTTAAATACTTTCAAAATACTCATGGAATTAAATAATCTTATGACTACAAATTCAAAATGACAATATATACTGACATATAACCATTACAGGATTAGTTATTGTAATTGTAGCTATAGTGAAATATTTCATTGAAACCATTAGCTAAAATGGAACTACTCAATTATGTAAGAATTTCATTTATTCAGACCATCATTTTTCTCCTCTTAAGTGGTTATAATTGCAATCATCAACCATGATTCTAGGGGATTTGTGATGAAAAATGCTACCTACTAATTGTCAAAAAGGTAATAGAATCAATATGCAGAATGAGATATGCATGGCTTGACTACACGTATTTATGGTGAAGGTTTTGTTTTTGTTTTTTATTTCTCAGTGGGGGTGATGGTGAGAGGAGTGAAAGGGAGAGAAAATAAATTACCCGTTAATTTTAAAAATAAAATTTAAAAATTAAATAGATCCTTATTTCTCATAAGCAGTCAAGAAGTGGTTTTCTTCTACTCCAACAGCTTATTACTAATACAAATACCAAATCTACTTTTTCTACTCTGACTTATTACTTTGTCATTAGGCCTTTACCTCAAAGGAATTTCTTTATCCACTATTCCTTATTGTTTCTATATTCTAAACATGGAAAAAGCTAACCTTATTTTTCTGCTATAATTATTCTCAACTCTTTTTGTTCTTTCCTATCACTAGTAGAGATACTCTATTACATAGCTAATCTTCTTCAATATCAACATGAACTAACACTTATCAATGCCATAAAAATTATTCTTATATGGAAGTAGTCATTCTAGTTTTATCAACAAGCCTTTCTACCAAACTCCACAATTTCATGTTCAAAATTCTGAACCATTTCTTCTCTTAACTCTAAATTTTAAATCATCTCTCATTTTAATTTATTTTTTTTACTACTCACTTCTTGAGTTTCTCCCATTTGGCAGGTCCTAAAACTTGCTAACAAAATAATTTCTACTGTAACTGCTCTAATTACTCCCCCATTTGAAGATTCTTTACTACTCTCCTTTTGCGTTATGCAATGACTTGCTAGCCTTCAAAACCAATACACCACCATTTGCTTATAACATCTGAACAAATTGTAATTTAAATACTAAAAAACCTTGAAACATTTTAAAGCACTCAATAATACTTCAATGTATCAAAGTTTTTAAAAGCTGGTTTCCCTCAACCATCTTTGGAAAATCAAACTTTTACCCACAAAAATAAAATATATATGAAGTAACAGAAAATTTAATCTTCAAACTTCATTAGTTGACTACAAATAAAATACAAAATCAATTTTTATTATTGATAAATAACAGCAGATGTAAGGTTAGCTTTTTCTTTTTAGAACAATTCAGTTTTGTTATTCCATTTAAAATGCTGAGAATTTATTCACAATATTTATTGGTTTACATGAAATGAGTTTTAAAATTTATATATTAATCATCTACTGAAAAAATTCACATTTTCAAAAAAAGTGAATTCTCTTCAACAGATATACTTCCGTATGAGTTAAAAAGAGGGCAAATATCTATTTCAATTTATAACATTCTCCAGAATGATATACTGTAGGCAAGGCACTCTGCAAACTTTAAAGCACTATATAATGAGTTGTTATAATTATTAGAAATGTTCCTCCAAGATCCCAAATGAGTAAATAGCCAGGTAAAAATCATCTTAAAATGGGGATAATAAATTACTTGCAAGTGGCTATTTCCAAAAGTTGTGAGAAACAAATGAGACAATGTAGGTAAGGCACTTTGTAAACCTTAAAGCCTACATGAATGTAAATTATTATTATTTCCTGAAATCAATTATTCAAATTACTCTTTTGTTTAAAGATAGATGCATAAAACAAGGACTTCATGGCAGTCTACAAGGAAAGGCCAGAATTTGTAAAATCTGAAGACTTTTTGAACTGCTTTCTCAAAACAACCTTGAGATTAGGCCGGGTGATATACCTTAGGAATTGTTTCCCATTCTTCTACACTGAAAAAACAATCTGAAGGTTAGTGTGGGTGTGAAGAGCTGCAGAATATGGATATAGAAGCTCTACTTCCTTTAGAATGCATTTTATTGTCTTGTTTCTAAACTATAATGTAACCAGTGAAACACATATACTGCATTGAAGAAATACTAAAAAGAATTTTAATGTATGCTTTCTATAGTGAGTAAAATGCTAGTGCAACATTAAGGCTTTTCTTTTGCTTGTTTTTTTGGCAATAAACTATATCATTTCAAAAACAAAGTTTCTTCTATTAGCTAAATATACATTAACTAAACTAACTATTAGAAATTTCGAGATTTTGGGAGATCATTTCGTACAATCTTCAGCCTTCAAATAATATAACATGGCTTCTAAAAGGATTCTTTTGTATGTATCTGTTGACTAAGAATTGTAGTGTTATTAAAAGCAGGAGTAAATAAATACAGCATAGCATGCTAAACAGAAATTGAAAGCTAGTTCAACATAAGAAATATTTTTTTAAATTATTAAGCCAGTTCCACTTTTAACCAAATTAATTGATTTAAACTTAAATCTTAAACTACTTACCCAATTTTTGTCTTCTCTTTTAACTTGGTTGAGGAACAAGTTTTTGTTTTCTTGCTTTCCTTGTCTTTTGGCTTAGATTTCATTCTTCTACCTTTTTTTTCTTCCTTTCCTTCAGCTGAAACACTAGGAAAGTTTTCAGGGCTCATTACTCGAGGAATGTTTCGTTCCCCTCGTTCCTTTGCTTTCGCTATTGCTTCTGATATAATACGATTAGCTTTTTCTTGCTTGCTTTCTGATTCCACCTTTCTTTTCTGCTTCTTCTCAGACATGGCTCTCACCTGGGTATTCTGTAACTTAGCATATGTCCCAGATCCATCAGTTTTCTTAGAGGAAGGAGGCTGGAAAAAAAAAAAAAAACAAAATATATTTTACAGAAGATAAGTACATCTAAAGTCATTCCCATAAACATCTGGAACTAGAAAATTCTGCTTACCTAGTAAAGCTGAGTTACATAAGCAAATATGTAAGTGAAGTAAACAAATCTAAGAATATTAAGACATTTTGTTTGACCAAAAAGTACAGTAGGTTCAAAACAAACAGAACTGTGACTTTTAAATTAGTACTGACTGCATACCAAAAACAAAACAAAACAAAAAAACCCCAACAACTAGATGGAACAGATTCATTGAAATTTTCATAGCATTCTTGGCCACCTTGGTAATTGACTACATCAAATCTTAATCTTGTAAATATTTTTGTGCATTTGGAATAAAACTCTTTCCCCTCCTTTTTGAACATGTGGACTACAAAACTAATACAAATATGTAAATTATTACCTAAATTTAGAACTGTTAGCTATAAAATTTATTAGTGAATTTATAAAAAAAAATCTTTTTTTTATAAGTAAATACAATCTGGGATCATTTGTATATATATGTATAATCTCATCAAATGTCAGTTAGCAAATATATTTAGTACCTTACATAAAACTGAAAAACTTTTAGTTCTATGAGTTTACCTGTTCATTTTTTTCCTATTCAAACAATTGTAGAGAAAATTAAATTGTACATTAATAGATAGTTCTACATGAAAAGGACTAATGTTTTTGAAATATCAAAGAAGGTAATATATAATGCAAGTTTTTAAAAAGGAATGGAAAGAATTTCTTCTTCAAACACACATGCACACAAACAAAATACAGAACAGATCACAGCTTTGCTATTTTCTCACCCGTAAACATGCCTCTGACTACAGCAAAGGGAAAAACCACCAGGAATTTCCAAACACATTTTCAGGCAAAATCCAGTATACTTCACTGGATACATTTTCTATACGTGCCTCATCAAAGGCTTCACAGCAGTGCTGCAGCACTGGGAAAGGAGGCAGGGTTTAGGCTCACTCACTAAATACCACCTTAAGGCCTACAGGCTATAACAAATAACCAAGACTCGAGAAAACAGCAACAAGCTCAAGATGGCGATGCAGTACGACTCCCGCAGCAGCAGCCAGTAATAAGGAAGGTTATTCAATCCCATTAGCCTTTTAGCCCAAAGAACCCCTCCTCCTCCCACTCAGTCAGGCTTTCACTTACCCTTCCTCTTGGCCTCTTCACTGAAGACATTTTTGGCGTCAGACAAAGGCTTGCCCTCTGCTTTTTCACCACCCCAGGCAGTGCTCAAGAGAAAAGCATTGAAAGAAGATTCCTAAATGGCCTATTTAGCAAGCTGCAACCAAGATATGAACAACCCTCCACAAATACACATTGTGATTTATCAACATATTTCTTCCTTGACAAGAATATATCCACTGTTTAGCCTACTCAGGTATGACAAAGACTGTCAACCTCTCCTAAAGAGCTGAGTTTCCACAAAAGCTGTAAGCAGATAGCCAGATTCCAACAAAGCACAGAAAGAAATGAATGCACAAAGCATCAAAATGCATCAGCATGAATATTAGAGATGTCGTTAAAAATACTGACTCCTTCTGCAGAAGTAGGCCAGCAGATGGTGCTACCAGTTATTATTCCATTAGACTCTGCAATTTAACCCCCAATGGACTGCTCTTCCCTACATGTGGCAGGGTTGTTAACTCTTACCCTGCCACTTCACTCCTTCTGTATTTTTTTTAAATTTCAAAGAAAACACTGACAATAAAAAACTACAAAACTTAAAACTATGATATGACCTAACATGCTATATATGTACATGCATATAGAAACATATACATGTCCACACACATATATACATACATACACACAGATCTATACAATTTCTAGCAAAGAAACAAAAATATTTATGATATAAAAATACTTTAGGATGATCAATGGGTTATGGGATTAGTCCACGAAATAATCATATAAGAAGTTGGAGATCTCTTTGAAAAAGGAGAGAAAAAAGGTTTTATAGGTTCTTCTTTTTAAAATGCATTACACTTTAAATTTTTAAAAAATCATTAGTGTAGGTATCTACATTTAAACTCACAAATATAATCTGATATTTCAGCTTAACACACCATAAAAAAGAATCAAATACAAAGGCTTCTAAGTTTTAATTTTTAATAAAAACAATACTTATTATTTAAAATCCCTTAATTTGAAGATTACCAATAAATTCATCTTGTCATTAAAAATCACAACAAATTCAAATTCCTTTTATACCATTACACTATACACCAAATAAAGTTTAGTGCTAAGCTTTTCAAGTATGGTCTTAAATTTGTTTTCTTAAAAGGCATGGCAATTATATAAATGCTAGGTGTAAAAACAGCAAATTTAACTTTAAAAAATTTATAAAAGCACCTACTATGTGCCAGGTGCACTGTGCTAGCTGTTGGATGCTGAAAATTTCTTTCATCATTTTGGGAAATGTTTTCATATAAAGTGTATCACTAAAATTATATTTTATTATTTTAGTTCCAGTTCAAAAGATCAACTCTGCTGCTCTTGGCTAGTTATTTGACTTTACCTTAGTTTTTTACTTTGGTTTTCTAAGTTGTAAAACAGAAAAAATATTACTGCTTTGCATGAGATTATGTGAAGAATAATTACTGTAAAGGGCTTGTAGAATCAACCACCTAATCTAAGAGAAATCCCATTGTTAATAACACAAAAACTTCCTATCAGAAGATAAACATTGAATTGACATAGCCTAACTAAATGTGGACTACTTATAGAAATCATTGATAAAAGGAGCATTGGCATGGTCAGAAAAGCCCCTATTTGTATAACAGGATCAGTTGGAATATATCCAATTTGCTTTTTGGCAAAAAAAAAAAAAAAAAAGTCCTTGGGCATGATATTTCATGAATTTTCATGTCTAACTAGTGACTATACTCACAGGTACCAGTTCTAGGTTGATTGATTTCGGTACCTAATAAAAACTATTTTTTTTTTACCCTCTTCACACTCTCTTCTCATCCTGGCTTTCCCTTTAGTCTCATAGAAAAGAAATCTCACCATCTCCCACAATCTCCAAATCAATGGGAGAAATGTTTTGGTTCTCTACTCATAGTCCCCAGTCTCATGCTAATTTTCCCAATAGCATACCTTCAGTCACCAATTACTTCCTACATTTGATCTTCAAACTATTCACCTTTACTACTCAGTATATTCCTCCCTAGACCCACTCTTTCTCAAAACTTTCCTTTTTTTCTGTTGAAGGTACCACCATTCTCAGAGTCAGTCAGATTTGTAAACTTGAAATCATCCCACACTTCCTTCTCACTCATTGCTCCCTTTTATTTTATCAATTGTCAAACCTTGTCATTTCTAACTCCACAACATCCCTTGCACTATTTCCTTCTCTCCTTAGAAACTGATATAGACACCATCTTAGGTCAGTCCCTCATTTCTAACTATAGCCACAATCTCCTAAAATGAATCCCAGCTTCTAGTCTCTGCCCTCTCTAACATATTCTCTACACAACTTTTGGAATAATCATCTCAAAGCACAAGTCCGGCCATGTCACCTCCATGCTCAAAACCTTCAGTCAGTCAGCAAATAAGCATTTAATAAGTGGTTACTATTTGCCAGGCACTGTGCTAAGTGCCAGAGATACAAAGAAAGACAAAATACAAAAGCCACCCCTTCTTTCAACATGAAAAATAACTATATATACAAGATATATACAGGATAGATGGAAAGTAATGTCAGAGAAAAGTACCCCCCTGCCCCATCTTCCCAGGACAGAGGGAAGGGGAGGCAAGGAAAGAATAAGAAAAGTCTCTTGCAGAAAAGTGAGATTTTAGGTGAGTCCTGAAGGAAGCCAGAGCAATTAGAAAACAGAAGTGATAAGGAAGAGTATTTGAGGTACTAAGGACAGCGAGCAAAAAAGCAGAGTCAGAAGACAGAACATCAAGTGGGCCAGTGTCACTGTATCACAGACTGAGGAGGAGAATAAAGAATAAAAAGAATGGAAAAGTAGGAAAAGAATAGGTTGCAAAGGGCTTTACATGACAAACAGTATTCTATATTTGATTCTGAATGTAATAGGGAACCATTGAAGTTTACTGAGTAGAGAGGAGACAATCATTCCTGCACTTTAGGAAAATCATTTTGCATCTGAATAGAGGACAGATTGGAATGGAGAGAGACTTGAAGTAGGAAGGTCAATCAAAGGCTCTTCAATAGTAAAGGCACCAAGTAATGAATGAGGCCTTGTACCAGATTGGCAATTGTGTGAGTGGAGAGAAGGGGACACATATGAAACAAGTTATGAAGGTAGAAGACAACAAAGATTTACAAAAGTTTGGATCTGTGGGGTGAGAAGCTGAGAATAAGACTAGCTGACTGGGAAGATAATAGTGCCTTTGACAGTAATAGAAAAGTTGGGAAGAAGGTATTTTGGGTTGGGTGGAGTGGAGAAATACAAGCTCTTCAGCATGGCCCTTTCACAACCTGGCTCCAATCTATTTTTTTGGGTTTACTGAATCTCACCCTCTTCTCCCTTTTCCCACAGAGTTTGTTACAGTCAAATAGGACAACTTCCAACAACTTGACTTACTGCTACCTGGACCTGGCACTACATTTTTTTGCTTCTGTGCCTTTATACTGGCTGTCTCCCAAGCACTCCCTCCTTACCTCCAATTCTTAGAATCCTTAGCTTCTTTCAAGCCTCAAAATGAGTAAACAGCTACCTGAATAGGAGGCAGACCACCCAACTCCCATATACCTACTCTGGTAAGATACTCAAGTTCACAACAAACTGAAAAATGACCAAGAAATCCATTAAAAAACTACAATATGTGACTTCTTCCATCCCAGAATTGCATAAAAAGTCAACTATCCATGGGTAATAGGAAAGGGAGGGGCTCCTGTCACCATTAGTATCATTACAGGGTAGACTCCCAGTACAACCAAAAGCTGGACACGTATAGCTTGTAAGGCTGTGTCTAGAAGCA